ACGCCCGTCGGGGACAACGACCCCTCCGTCGGAGACCTCGCCCCAACCCACTCCGTCGGGAAAATCCTTTCAGATATGTGCAGGCATCTGTTTGGCGAACATTTAGTTCTTAATCGAATTTATGATGATTAAGGCTAATGAGACGGCATCTATTTTATAATTAGGCCTACCTAAGTTCATCCATTTGAATTACTGTTGAAATTTGACATGTTTGAAGTCTCATAATGCTTGCCATACTTTTCGTCTTGTTTGCGAATATTGCAGTCACGGCTAAAAACATCGTTAACGTACAATGATCTATAGAGGGAGTACTACAAATAAATTAATAGAGATGAGGAACAGTTCTGTGAAATACCAAATCTGTTCAAAGACAGAATTTTATCAAGTGACCTTTCACCTACAGAATTAAAGGTCTTAAAGTAAAGCATACATAATCTGTGTTATGATCCTAATATGACACTAATGTCAGCACTTATTGTCAATCCCTCATAGGTTTTTAATTTAATATTATTCTTAAATTTTTAGAACAGTGGTTCCCAACCAGGTGTATGCGGACCATTTAGGGGTCCACACAAACTAATTGGGGGCTCGTGGTAACGCACGCATAATAAAAAACCTTTCTTTGCGCTTCCATACAAAATAACAAAGATGCAGACATTTTCAACAAAAAAAAATAGTTCTTTTCATAACTATCTAAGTGGTGACAGTACCGCAAGTTTAAATATATAAGCCTATTATAAATGTCAAGAAAGCCTCCCTACAAAAAAGGACTTATAACTGTTACTGGTAACAGTTATAAGTCCTTGCTACAAACTTCCACAATATACAAATCGACATTTTATTTTAATGATTTTCAGACCTTTCTCTATAAAGATCTTCAAATTGATTGTCTATTTTTCCTTTCCAATTTTTAATTGCAAGTTAATACTTCGGCTTACTTAAGTGTAAATTAAGCAATTCAAATGTTGAATTAATGTTTTTTACTACATTGCTGTAGACATTTTTATTAGTTAAATAATAACGACAGCGCTAAAGGTCACGGTGAATGTAACACATCAATTTATATATCATGATGGTCTCTGCAGGACCTATTGAGGGCCTGCAGATACGTACCAGTCTATGATTTAGTTGCCCTGGTACTTCATCATTCTCGTGTTTTGCTGATAAACTGTGTGATTATTTACTTGTGCTGCTAATAAGGTAGAAAATCAGTGCCTTTTATACATATATTTACCTTTAACATTATTGTCAATAAGGGACTTGAAGTAAAATCAATCGCAGGACAGTTAAAAGATTAAGAATCTGTGCAAATTATAGAATGGTAAATTGGTGGAAAATATTATTTTCTAGTAAAAATAACAATTGAAATTTTAAACTTCATTTTTACCGTTATTGGCTTAACACAGTGTATTTGACACTCTTTGAAAGATTATAAATCGATAGAGGGCGTAATTTTAAAGCAAGACATGAAATTATTTCATATGTGAAACTTAAGTTTTTAACACAATGGAGTGCAGTAAAGTCGATATCAACATTCTTTTGTGGGTGGAAATGCTAATATTTATACATTCATTGACTTGATACTGTTTTTTTTTCACGATATAACACTGCTGCGGCACAGTTTGTGCCTAGCCGACCCAATTTTAGTAAGTGGGCCGAACCCTCTTGCATCATCAAAAATTTACGAAAGAAATGATTTAGGCTGATTTTTTTACAATATAACAGACTGACTTTGTGCGAAGCATGGTTCACATGGTTTTAAAAACACTGCATTATGAAAATGTCGTCTAGGAATTTCCCTCTTTTGCAATCATGGATATACTATAATGTCATGTCCTCACCCACATCTGTGTCAATGTATTATTTGGCTATCCATGGTATGATGATGTCATCAGCATACCCATATATGGATAAACAACATATTTACATAACCTTGTTAGTGTGAACATAGTCTATATTATATGTTTGCACAGATTACTAAACGCCACAAGTACTATAAATTTTATTAAATCTAACATTCGTATAATAACTGCTTTGTAATAATACAAGAAATATGACTGACAACCATTATAAATGCAAAATCTGACATAATTCTTGAGTCGCTTCTAAGTAAAGTAAAATATGATGTTGCTGTAGGTGAACAATCCCTAGTGACGTCATAATTCGCAAGAAGTGTGGTAGTGCAAGCCCCTGAAAAAAACGTTTGACTTCATACGGCACCTCCCCCTCGTTACTGGAAAATACCATAGTGCAGATAAATTTACATTAAAATAACCGCCACTCTTAGTTAGTTTCCCTAATTTTCCTTTGTTCGCTATCAGCTCGGCATGTCAATACACTGTTGCATCTCTCACCTCAAATATATACTTTTTTGTAACATTTTTCTGCAATCTGTACATTACAGTAAATATTATTTTGTGAAAAATGGGTGCCTATACATCGGCATGACGATATCATGGACGTAGACATGAATGTTGTCATATTACATCAAGGCCTATATATGGGCATGATAGTGTCATATCACATCTATATGGGCATGATGGTGTCATATCACATCTATATGGGCATGATGGTATCATGTCACATCTATATATGGGCATGATGGTGTCATCACATATGGGCATGATGGTATATCACATCTATATATGGGCATGATGGTGTATCACATCCTAGCATGGTATTGCGATTACTTATTATATATCAGCATTATGATGTCACATAATACCAATATATGGGCATGATGTTGTCATCACATCTTGGGCATGATGGTGTGACATCATAACCATCTATTGGTATCATTGTCGTTACACTCATTAATTCGGTAAAGTCTACAACAAAACAAATGGACAACTCTTTAATTATATTAAGCCAAATAAGCAAAACTAAAATTCTATGCTGTAACGTTAACATTATGGCCTACGATGATAACAAATCAACGGTTAAATTAATGTTGCGAAATCCAAACATCGCCCCAATAATTAGTCATGAGAGGCGCACCATACTTCTTCATCCCATTCGCACGTCCCCTCCACCCAACGGTCATCGTTTCTATCCTGGGCCTAGACCTAGGTTAACTTAATCAACTTTTTTAAAACAATGAAAACATTAAAATTCAAATAAACGCAGTGACTCACGGAGTCTTCCAATGTCAAATTTGTCCGGAGACGAATAATAAATGAATGAAACGGAGTCAGAGTGATAAATTACGAATTTATAAACACTGTAGGCTAACGTACGTACTGACCTTTGCCTTACTATTTTATGGCGCGCAACATGCGCACAAAATAATAAGAAATCCCGGAATACAATATAAGCAAATCACATTTGTCACACGCTTAATGTGACGTAGCTCAAATGATTGTCTTCTTGTCTGTAGCTTAGTGTGGACGTAGCTCTAATGATTGTGTCTTCTTGCCTGTAGTTTAGTGTGAACGTACCTCTAATGATTGTGTCTTCTTGCCTGTAAGTTCACCTGGAACAGGCAACCTGCTTTAGCAACATTATGTCTGAGACTGGCCAATAGCCTAAACGTTTACAACTGCATCATGATTGACATTGGCCCACATATCAATTACTGTATAATTGATTCTGCTAAGCCCTTCACACCATGAATTGCTGAAATTCCACAAAACGATGAATATTCATAGAAAAAAATATGACTGAATGTGTGTTGTGTGGGTCATGCGCATGGTTACAAAGTAAAGTTCCTTTATTCAGTTGTATGAAAAAAGTGAATGGTGGGATTCGAGCCTAATGGCCCCTTTCAAGTTTTTAAAGTAAACGTAAACGTAGTATCACCAAAGATCGTATAACGGCGCGTCTCAATCGTCAAAATACGAGCGGATGGCGAATGCTACTTCGAGTGGAAATTATTTCGAGCAGATTCTAGCATTTCTGGGCATCCAGAGTGACATGTTCTTAACATGTTCGCACTATATTTCCAAGCACTCTGAACATGAGGAGGGTAAGGTCTCTTTCCTTATAAGGATAAACTGAACTTATATTTCACCTTTTTGTAGCATCTGAGCCCTGTATGGAGAACCAATTTGATTTATTTTATAACATTTTAACAATCTTACTTCATAGATTACTTTGATGACTGATAACCATGGTGATAAAAACTTCTGTATAATACAAACTAAGACACTTTAAAGGGTATAAGAGAGCATCCAGCTATAAAAGTGCCATACTTTTTTTTAAAATGTTATACCTCAGCCCCAACCATAATATTTTTAGCATCCCTCTATCCAACACGTACCCCTAACGAAACATACTGGATCCTCTTCTGTTTTCTCATTTTATTTCTAAATGTAAATTTAACTAATAGAAAATTTATATAAAATAGAATTGCTCTTTAAAAAAAGAAACAAAAAAAAAACTCATAACAGTACGTCTTTGTCAATCTGGTGGAAGAAAATCTCAACCGATTGTTTCGGCTAATTTTGCAGCCATTGCAATGGAAACACTGTGCAACAGTGTACGGTAGTTATTATTATCATCATCATCATCATCACCATCATCATCATCGTCATCATCATCATCGTCATTATTATTATTATTATTAATATGATTATTATTATTATTATCATTGTTATTATTATTATTATTATTATTATTATTATTATTATTAAATACAGGCTCAACGTAGTCATGTTATTAACACAGAATTTTTGAACAATACTATTATCTTTTTATTAGAAAAAAACAACAATATAAACCCAAATAATTACATATTTAAAATAACCACACAATGGCTATAAACAAACCTAAACGTATAGGCCTACGTAATAATACATTTACCTATTATTCAATAAAAAATACAATAAACTAAATATTCTTAAAGTGAAAGCAACAACACATAATAAATCAAGGATCAACTTAATACGTTTTTGTCTTAAGTATATGGAACTAACAAACGGAATCTTATAAGAAATACTAGTACTAGATTCGTTGGAGTCTCATAAACATATTAACATTGAGTTTCCGGGATCACAGGGTCAAGGAAGCCATCACATCAGGTCCAACAGCCCAATGTTAATTGGAGATGGTGGAAGTCCTTATCTTCCAAACATATAGAACAACACTTTTAAAGCAAGATTGAGGGGTGGGGTAGGGGGGGGGGAAGAATGGCTGGCCCCGACAATCTCTGACACAATTTTCCATCGTGTTTCATTGTGAACAAGATTACAGTGATAGTCAAACGCTCAAAACTTAAGTTCCTTTGTTTTCTGCTTTATCCAGGGATATAAAGTTTATATATTATATAAACTTATATAATACTATAATACTATAAAACATATATTTATAATAATTTATTAACACAAGTCAAGCCATATAAAATGCATTTGAAAACTTGAAATTAAGGAAAAAGTACATTAAAACAAATAACACTGATAATACTATACATAAAAGAGCTGATACTGATAAATATACAAAAATATATATACAGGTATTGTAATGAGAATTAAAACGCAAAATATTGCAAATGCATTTTGCACCCGAGTTTTTTAATTATATAAATACTTGTCGTTACTTGTATAATCAAAGCCATCGCTAACCACCCTCCAATGTAATGAATATTTCTCTCAAGTGACAGCCCACCTTAACCAATTAAATACAACTAGAATTGAAATCATAATCTCTAAACCGATGTCAATTTCATTCAATCACACATTTTTTTTACATCTTTAAGTACGATATTGTTCATTACATTCACACTGCATGCACGACGAAAGCTTGTGTATCAATAATGTTCTACCAATTTCTGTTTCTCTTGATCATTAACCTACTCTAGGATAACATTGTCACCATTTTTATTATTTACACAATTAATTATTAAGAAGGCTAACAAAACAGCAATCAAAACAAAGAACAGGAAGATGTCATTTACATTTGAATTATCTGAAGCTTGGTTTCCATAGAATCGTACACAGTCGCAGCGTTTTCACTGCAATATTGCACTGCGCAGCTGTCCCCGACGCAATCGGGAACATTCCCTGATTCGACTGACCAATCAGCATCACCAAAGCAGTCGGCGGAGAGCGTGTAGCGATTTTTATGGAAACTGCAGGCTTAATCAATAATTAGGAAAATTTCTTCTTATAATCTATTTTTAAAAAGCTAGAACGGACTATTTTGAATTGTTATAGTAATTTTGTTCCAAACATTCTACAGCGATTTTCAATAAGCCATTAATTACGGAGCAGCTTGAAAATGGTGGAATAATGTTATGAGTGGGCATATTTCGTTCAATATCTATGCTGGTCAAACCATATAAATATTATTACACAAGTAAGATGGTGCAATACTACAATCATGTTATATGGCTGTAAATAGCTTTAGAATTTCCTTTAAACAAATTTATTTGGAATAAATCATTTATTTTATAATTTATTTTTCATTCGAAATATAAAAGTTGTTTTCAACTTTTATATTTCGATGAAAAAGAAGATTTCATACCAATAGCTTTAGAACGTGTTAAGTGCTTCAGCTTCGGCTATCATTTCATTTTTCATAAGCCTTTTAATGAATTCTTTTCTTGTGTCCACAGTAAGTATTTTTCTGTATTCCAGTTCCAATATTAGGCACCAAGGATCTGGTAGTTTTTTAACGTTAAGGTCATACCAATAACCAATGCGATCTTTATTGTCTTTGCTCATAGCTGTGCCGAATTTTATCAAATTTCTTCGATGATCTGAAAAGTTACGTATTACAACTTTACTTAAATCTGGAAATGTTGGTTCCATTTTCTTGATCTTCAATTCTACACCACGCTGCTCGCATAAAATTACAACCTCGACAAGAACATCAATGTTTGATTGGCTAATAAGACCATTACCTAAAAGCAATCGAAACAGTTCTATTGGCTTATTCAGCTCTTGTAGTTTGGTTACATGAATACAGTCAAACTCGCTAAGTAATACTTTCAGCATATTAACGCTTCCATGCAGTTCCCACCATGACGACACGACATCTAGCAGTTGATTGCAGTCGCCCTCATATAGTTCTTTAAAGATAATGGCCAATGGTTTTTGTTAAAGTACACAAAAACAAAAATAGCAAAAAGCAGGCACACATTGGCGTTGTGCCTTTACATATCGCAAATGCTCGAATAAGGTAAATGTCGCGGCGCCGCTCGAGAGTATTACCCTGTGTGTAATGAAACACTTTCAGAAACAGGGTTTTAAATACAATGTATACAGTGTTGAAATGAATAAATAACACAATGAAGACACAAGAAATTCTTTATAAACGTTTATTTACCATCAGATGTAGGACCTACAGTAGGCCCGCCGAACTGAGGGAATACTAAGATAGGTAACATGGGAACGGGCATAGAAATCGCAAAGCCAATATTTTTATATATAAGCACCGTTTCTGAATAAACGCCGCACTGAAGCCTGCAAATTTTATAAGCGAGAATTTACCATATTACTCCTGGACTTTCCAATTAGGTCAATGTTTTCTTTCTTATGGTTATGTGTAAATATTAAGAGTAGCGCTAGGTATTTGTCCGACGGGAGGGGGCCGGGACCCCCATCGACAGCTAATTGGGCGTGGTCAGGTGTTCAAAATATTTGAGAAGCGATCCGGGGATGGGGGAGAGTGAATCCCCAAAAAATATGACAATTTCGGGGTTATTTAAAGGCTTATTTACTCAATTTTAATGTAATGTAATGTAGTGGGATTTGGTATAGCGCATTATACCGAAGTCTCAATGCGCTGGTGATGTGTGGACTAGTGTATTAATATGTAAAAAACAGGCCTACTTTCTTTTTTTTTAAAAACTTTTTGACGAATTGTGGTTGTTCTTCCCGTCAAGGGCCATCGGGAGGGGGATCCGCTCTCCCCGACGGGAGAGCTCCCCCATCAACGAATCCTTGTTTTATGCTGTAATATTCGCGAGGATTATTATGAACACGCCAATTACTACAAAGTTTTCTGCGTATTTTGCAATTAAAATGAAGAAAGAACAGACGTGATAACAGCCTGTTCTCTTTTAAAACTGTGATTATTAGGCATTTATAAACCGATTTACCTGACATCTGCTCTCTGTGTGTGGAATCTGTGAACACGGGCTTATGAGGTTGATCCAGAGACCAGGATTTATGTGGAATATCTACAAGTACATAAAGATTATGCATTTCATATTACTGTTACTCATTCATTTTACAATATCTGATCATTTTATTTTTGTTTTGTTTTGTTTAATATAGACATAGGAATATGATAGACGAGATAGAAATGATTTTATAAGTCCGCAATGACGATATAACGTGTTTAGACCCCTAGTGTGATATAAGACAAATCTAATCTCAGTTCGTGAAGCTCAAAATTTAATGAGACATTGCTGCAAAAAACAGAAGTATATGGAAGAACAGCCGCTTGAAATGAATCACGTCGGGAGGAGTAATGCAAATTCAACAAAATGGCGCTGCAAATTATGAATTATTTTTCCTACCTTTACCTTCACTACTTTACAATGAGTGAACACCAACACAAAATACGCAACTGTTTACTTGAAACCAATGTACATTCAATTGACAAACGTGGAACTTTTGGCACATAGCGCAATAGTTTAGCCACCGGTACTATGTCGAATGTGGCCCCGATTTGCACGTTAGGTCCTGTGCTCTGGCTACTATTGGAATTAAAGTGGCCTAGCCATAATATTCCAGGAAATCAACTAGGACCCGTGTGTTTACTTTGTCTACTATGAAATAAAAACTATTTAGAATCTGACAAACATACAACGCAAAATTAAGAAACCACTTGGGTATAGTTCTGATATTACTTGTTGATCATTTGCATCTACTTCAATCCGATGCGTTATTTAAAGAAATATTGATTGAAAAGAAAATGTAGAATATTTATCATGCATGTCAGGAG